CGCTACACCAAAGTTCCTCAACACCTTTCAATCACCTGAATGAGCAACCGTAAAAATCCTTCACTGCTAACGAAACAAAAAGATTTTTAGAAAACTGGGTTCTTCTGAAAATGAAATCCAAACCAAAAATAAATAAATAAATCCTGACACTTCAATGAAACCTTCAAAACAACCATGTCATTAATCAAAAACACGGCCTGAGACGCTACACCAAGATTTTGTGAAAACTTTAAACCACTGTCATAAACATAAGGTTACTTTGAGTGAATGATGACAACTTCATATAAGAAGAAAAAAAAAAAGATCCTGGTTGCTCAACACATCACAACTGCACAATAAAAACATCTCTGAACCATATTGCAGCCAACCAATCTGCAGGACAAATATTAGTTTTGTTGCAGTTTCAACAGAAAAGCAGAACAAATTCCTCTGACACTGGCAACACTGAAGTTTCTTCAATGAACAAAAGTCATGTTTCTTTGTCTTTGGTCAGTGAAAAGAAGAACGGCAGCAGTCAGACTGAGAGGAAGGCATGTTCTGCAGAACGTAAAAAAACAGCACAACCAGCCTTCCTCTAATGACTTCTCAAGGTTGGATTCCAACACTGAACATAAAGGATGGAGTCGTCATTGTCAAGTTAAATGGGTCCCAAGAACACCCCCCACCCCCAATATGGGAGGTTAACGGCAAGGAGGGGGGGCAAAGCTAACAGGAAAGGAAAGAGGGCTCAGGAGGAAACTGTTCCCACCATCAGCCCTTAAGGCTCCACTTCTGTCTCCTCCTCAGCATGTTTCTGCATGTGCATCAGAATCCCCTGCAGACAGAAACAAACATCCAAAGCTCAGGGCACTTACCGGTTTGGCAAAAGTGCACGTAATTGGTGTGAAAAAGAATCAGACCAGAACTAAAAGGCAATAATGCGTCATTGTTCCCCTTGTTCTAGACCAGATGAACTGAACTGCAGGTGTGAAAGGGACCCTGTGTTTGAGAGAGACTAATTTGCGAGGTAAGCTGTTTATATACCTGCTTGGAGCTGTTGCGTGCACAGAAAAACTCTTCACAGTTTTTCCAGTGGCACTTTAGCATCTTGAGGTTGGCACCGGTGTGGATGTTGATCAGGTGGTGCTGCAGATGCTCCATCAGCCCGAAGACCAGCGAACAGCCGTGCCACTGTCAACAAAGGTCAGCGTTAATCACTAATCACCAGGGACACACCCAGGAAGTCGGCAGGAGAAGCTATAAATGCTTGGGAGAGCACAACGAGAGAAAGAGCAGATCACCGATAGTGGAGACAGGCCGTAGGGCTCCAGTTACTTTCATTGTCAGTTAATCTGCCACTTATTTCCGATTAATCAGTAAATCATCTGGCCATAAAATGCATCAAAATAAAATCCAGCCATGTTACAAAAGCGACTGACGTCGTCTGTATGAACTCTCTTCATCCATTTTCCTGCTCAGCTCTAGCCCGTCCCTTATCTTACCCAGCAGCGGTAGTTCTGCATCAAGTTCAGTTTGACGGCCTGAACGCTGCCATCATAACATCCTGTGTAGATCTGAAACACAGCATGCACACAAACCATGAGTTCATGTCTAGTCCCTAAGCTCATGATTGAAAATGTATTATGTTCTCACCCTAAAAGTACTCTTAAACAGGTTATATTGAAAATGCTGCTACAAAACAAGGACCTTTGCAGCTGCAACATGTGTTTCACTTGAGACGGCGACCTATCTATTTTCTTTGTGTGGAGCTCATGAATGGGCAGGTCTCTCACCATGTTCCTGTGGACAGCCATGCACATCACCATGTCCTTGTGTCCACCATAGACCTGTAGCTGCTCATGAGACTGAAGCAAAAAATGGACAGACATCCATTCAGATTTTCTTAAAAAGTCACTGAAATGTTCTCACATTAATACAGAAGCTTGAGCTGATGTTTACATGGGAACACACAAACAGAAAACAGAGACCGGCTAAAACTGAGTGAGGTTCAGCACAGATCTTTGAAGGACACGGACCTGTAGATCGTAGACACGGACCAGTTTGTCCAGGCAGGCGGTCACCATCACTTTCCCCAGGACAGCCACTACAGTAACAGCATGACTGTGACCCCTGTAGACCCGCACCAGCTCACCTGACTGTAAACAGGTGGCATGTTGGGAAAAGCTCCATGTACATATTAATAAACCTAAAAATCATAATACAATCACACCTGCATACGACATCTCTTGTATTTACTTTCAAGACTAGAACAGAGTTTTAAACATGTAAATTTGTAAATTCAAATCCTACTATGTGCCAGAGAGAAAAACGGGTCAGCTCACATGGATGTTGTGCACGTAGACACATTGATCACTGGATCCGCTAAATACCAGATCACTGACCACCTGAGTGCAGAGAGAGGAAATACAGAGCTGTAAACTCCCTCTAAAACATCTCAGCATCCATAAAATGCAAAACTTGATGGAATCAGGATCAGAAATAGGAATATGCAGATTATTAGTACAGACACAACACAACCTTAGCATAGTTCTCTAGAAAAGACAAGATCTTTACTGACACATCTTGGAAAAGCACGTGTGTAAATAACATCAGTGATGGCTTATTCTACTAACCAGCTTTAGGGTGCTGGTATTGTGCTTGGTCGCACTGGGACACTTGAAGAGAACAGAGCCACTGTTAATGACATTTTAACTGTATCGTGATTCAATCGAATCGCACACATCATATCGGCCCATCCCTTAAAAAGCATCAAAACAGAAAATGTGTCAAGAAAAATGTACATTTCTGTCCTTGTTCTTTCTCATTTCATACTCTCATTTGTTTCCTCACTAAAACAGTGCTGTTCTGTCAGATGTGTTAGGGTGATTTTTATTTTTAGATAGAAATGAATATAATTAGTTAGGGTTTTTTATTATATAGCATATATAAGTTTATATATTTTAATCTCACAGTTGTGTTTATGTTTATGTAGTTCCATATCCACATATCACCCTATGTGTTCACTGAATCACTGGTCAGTATTTACTGTGTTAGCCAACTGGAGCACTGGTTAACATCAAGGGGGGACTGGTTCACTAAAACACTGAATCTCATTAGATTTATAGCTTTGACAAAGAGGGTCCACAGATACTTTATTATCACCACCTGGCTGAAGAGGCCAGGGAATTTGGGGTCACTGGGACACCAAGGGTAATAAACAAGAGACTAGATCTAAAAGTCAGGAGAGGAAGACAACTTCAAAGGCAGGGCAGTATACAGACACACACAGGCCGAGCAGTTTTATTGGAAAGCAATCCCTGAAATCTAGCAGTTAGTTGGAAACAAAGAAAGAAGTAAGTGTCTATGTAGGAATTAAGACAGTATAGGTATTCCTCCCCTTTTAGGGCGCTGTCCACGACCATTGGAGCAGAGAGGACGATTGGAGGACGGACGGACTGAAGGACCAATATCGGGAGAGTTAAGTTTAAACCACGACTTCTCCCCAACAGTTTTTGACCAATCAGATAGCAGCATCTTTTCATACAAATATTGTATACCGCCAAGTTGAGGGTAGTCTTTTCCTGTTTATCCTAAACGGGGAAGATCCATGTGCACATGCTTATTTTGATACGTTAATGCATATTAAATTTCACAAACCGAAATATATATCTTTTTATTAGTCTTCTCTTTTCAAAATAAAAGAACTTTCATTACAGATGCCAGACTAGACCCACCTTCATGCAGAGGACGGTTTTGGTGTGGCCCTTCAGCGTGCGCAGCAGGAGTCCGTTCTTGGCGTCTCTCACGGTGATGGTGCTGTCGTAGGAGCCGACCAGCAGGATCCGCCGGGCCCCCTCCTGCGACGAGGCCAGACAGCTCACGGCCCGGGGCCCGTGGCACTCGAACACATCCATCTGCTTGTTTGTCTGAAGAATCACACAATGAAAATGAAATCATATGGGGGGATGCTGCTTCCAGCCAAAAGAGCTGAGTTCTTGTCATGATGCATTTTAAACATGTTTTTAAACCAAATGGCAGTGAGAGGTAGCTTTCAACTTCAGTAATGTGAATAAACTGTAGTATATTATAATTCTACATAATGCCCACAGGTTTTATTAGCTGTGATAAATACTACACTCAAATTAAGTGACATTACTGGAATACTGTTTCATGTGTATGAGGTTTGGCGTGGTGGCCGTTATTGATGGATTAATACAGGCTCTAGTTATGTTCCAGTGACAGTTATAATCTACATTTTTTTAGCGGTTGCAAAGTGCTCAACAGTTCGCTGGTCGGTGCTTCACTCAGCAACCTAACCACAACCTGCCTGAAAGCGAGACGTGTCGTTTGATGTTCAGTGTCAACACAGCTGCTGATGAGCTGCAAGGACAGCGGATGGACAAACAGTCTCCACCAGGCCGACCGACAGCAGCCTTGTGTCCACAGTCATAAGAGACACCAGTAAAAAAGTGTGATTTAAACAGCAGGGTGTGGAGATTATGCCGCGCACGGTACACCAGAGGAAATAGACCTGAAGCCAAAAACGGGTGATGCGCGGCTCACGTGTGTGCTGGGGAGACATTTCAAAGAATTGAGTTCTGTTGCATGAGAAATGCATCTAAAGCGCGCTCCGCTTGAATTGGCCTTAACTGTGCCTGTGTATGCGACTCGACCTGTTGTTTTACAGGTTTCCTGGGCGAGTCACTGAGGCGCTTGATTAAATGATTGAATCATTGGATTGATTTTTTTTTTTTGCCGTGATGGCAAAGATGTTGTGGTGACAGGCCACCAGATGTGAACGTTACCAGCGAAAACACTGTGGAGCACAGAATAACTGTATGAACCTACCAGAAATAACTGTACAATTGTAGCTATGATGGCTTTTTCCACTGTGGTTCATTGCATTTCTCACCTTGAGGTTAAAGGTCACCACTGTGCCGTTGGCCAGGCCTGCGTACAAAGTCCTCCAGCGGCTGTGGAGGCAGAGGACTCGGTCTGAGAGAGAAAACTGCTGCTCAAGCTCTTGTGTCTGTGGAAGAAGTAAACGCTGCAGAGCATCAGTTCAGAATACAAACTGAATCCAATGTGACTTTAGGAGTAAATGAGTACTTTAAAGCATTAAACTAAAAAAGTCTTTATATTTTTCATACAATTTAATGCTGTGAGGCATTTTAAACTAAAGTCAGATTTTATTTACATTACATCCAACAACATCCTTCAAAATAATGGCAGTTAATTAGTAAATGAAGGTGTGTGCTTTACCTTGAGAATGTAGCAGCGGATGGTCTGATCACTGGAACCAGAATAAAGGCGATGATGGAGCTTGGGAACTGCAGACACCAACAGGCAGCTCACTTTGGAGGTGTGACCCTCAAACACACCCACACACTTATGACTCTGCAACAGAGAGAAAAAAATACACGTCTGTTCTGTTGTTGCCCTCACTGAAACGATAACGGGCACGAATGCACTCAATGCACAGACAGCAACAGAAATGAACACCCACCACCAGGTCGAAGGCTCTGACGGTTCGGTCTCCTGAGCACGTGTACAGCAGCCCGTCGTGGATCTGCATGGCGTTCACTGCCTCATGGTGGCCCTCGAACACCCCCTCAGTCGGCATATCGTCTTCGCCGTGGTCAGAAGATGCATCTGGCAAATGTATGCATGAGCAAAGATTAACAAAGAGGAAACAATGTAAGTTTATTGTGTTTAAAGAGCCACATCTTGACACAGAGACTGAATCAGACTGGTCCATTTGCTTCATTTGTGTAAATATAACTTAGTCATAATGCAAAAAATTCCGTTTTAAAAGAATTATTATTCATCACTGCACTCGTCATACTGTATAGTGTCACTGTAAGTCAGCTGACAGTGCTATGAATATCCTGCCCATAAAGAGTCATTTGTGCCCTCCAGAGTCTATTTTAATTTAGAGTACAACATTTCTATTTCTGGCTGTTCAGAATGTGATTTTATGTTTGGCTATATGTGTGTGAACTTCAGCTACCAGCAGGGTTCGCTGCCTGTATTGACTCGATGATGGTCTCATTGTTAAGAGAAATGCTGGGATGATGAAAACAAATGTACAGACTCATTTTTTTAAGATAACAGAACTTGAGATATCTGAGTTAAAATAAAAAAGAAAAATATGGAATCAGGAAGTTCAAGGAAATTGTGTATTTCGAATAACCTGAGGTGTCACTAAACTCCACCCGAGCTGCTTGGTGGATGGCCACATAGCTTCTGAAGCGCCCTCCCTTCTAACGCCGGACTGGGAGTTCTGTGGCTGACCATTTCAGACGATTCTCTCTAGCTCTGTTTGTCATTATTTCCATCATTTCTCATGCGAACAACCAAGTAATGTGTTGAATTCCAGGGGAGACAGTCTGAACATGTGCACTGTTACTTTCATATTCAAACAATATCTCTGTGACGTCCAGTTTATGATACAACTGACAACACGTCATATGAACAAGTTCTGGCCCTAACATAACATGAACAGCTCTCCGGAGATGACCGTACCTGATGAGGTCGTTGGCAGTGTGATGGGAAATGGCACGTCGCTGTGAGGAGAAACAGTAAATTAATGTCATGTCCCCTGAACATGAAACGTAAAAAAAAAAAAAAAAAAAGACTATATGAAAGAGAAAAACAGCCTCACCTCTCAGAGGATTTACATATATCCATGTCACTGGTGGAGGTGACCTCGCTGCAGGCCAGGCTCTGTGACCCAGATCTGGAGGTGACCTGCACCTGGGCCGGAGGGGGAGCCAGAAGCAGGACATCTGTATGGGGCTGCTGAGCAGCTGTGGTGACCTCCATGTGTTCTTCTGAGTCCAAGTTCACTGTCAGCTCACCGGGGGCCACCTGAGGAAGCTCCACCGGGTGTTTGAGGGACTTGCTATCTACTTTCTCATATCTGTCTGTCGGAAACTGCAGCCCAACCACCTCCTCGCTGCCCTCCCTGGTCAAGTCACCCTCTCCACCTTCTGTAGGCAGAGTGGAGGTGCTAACCTGAGAGCCTCCGCTGGGTCTCCTGCGTGTTCGGAGCCACCTTGGTCTCGAGGCATCTCTGTCTATCTCGGTATCACTGCTCTCTGGCTGCTCCATCCCTTGAGCTTTCTTCAACACCTTCCTCTTCTTCAGCTTCCTCACACGCTTTCCACTCCTCAGTTCAGATGGAGAGGCAGGCAGATTAAAGACTGAAGGCACAGTGGGGGACTGTGTGGCTGCATTGTCGACAATGCTCCCTGCATCAGAGTCCTTCCTGCTGGGTGAGAGGAGCTTTATGGAGGATTTGGAGTCAGGCAAAGGGCTGCTGCAGTGTCTGGTCAACTCTGTGGCCTTTTGTATTGTCTCAGCCAAGCCCTCTTTACAGTCTGCAGGCTCCCAGATATGTTCTGTTTTAGTTTGGCACTGCACAGATTTTCTTTCAGGAGATGTCTGTAAGTTAAGGGCAAGGCCTGCAGGAGTTATAGAAGCACACAGATCAATCCACTGCAGATTTAACTGGCATGAACGGTTAGTTCCAAGGACATATTTGAACATTATCCCTTCAATAGCTGTACTTACTTAAATGAACAAAAACACTGTCACATAAAAACATGATTTTCTATTGATCCTTTGTAGACATGGGATATGTAACTTTGCTGGTTTCATCAATCTATTAAAGCAACAGCTTTCTGTCATTCAGACAAAGGTCATGTTCATGTTAATGTTCCTCACTGTTTCATTCAAACATATACACAGCCATGAAGCAGAAAGCCACGGTACGCACACAATATCTGCCATACACGCAATAATGTTGACTCTTGTGTGTGCCTGTCCATTAATGGGACTGCATACAGTTCAGAGTTGTGCTGTGTGAATGACATTACCTGGTGGAGATTCTGCAGTAGGAGTGACAGGCAGCTCTGGTGTGGTGCTGTGAGCACAGTGGCTTATATTGTCCACAAGGTCCAGGTCTGAGTTGATATAGACAGGAGACTGTGGCTCCTGCTTGATAACCACAGACATGAAGGAGGAAGGGGAGGCACGCTGGACAGGAGGACCAGGACTGGGGGCAGCAGCAGCACTGTCCATAACAGAGGAGGGCATGTGTGGCTCTGCAGCTACTGAATCCATCTTCTCTTCTTTCAGTTTGACCTGAGGTGCTTCTTCCAAACTACCTGTTTTAAAAAAATAAAACACACATAACAAAAACTTGCTGTTTATTTCAGTTATATTTACCACCCTCATCATTCACTCATTCAGGAAAACAGTCTAAATAAAATGTACTTTATGTATTCGATGATTTCAGCTAGTGTTATGAACACCAATAGAACTGGAATTGGTTTCTCTTAAAAGTTCAAATTCTGTAAAATACCCGATTAAGCCTCACATGTAGTGACATTTTATGCATTTATTACAAAACAATTTGATGTATTTCATGCAAACAGTTTTCATTACCTTGCATCCCTTTTAGTAACTCAATGCGCTTGTTCCTCAGTGTGCTCATTTCTGCAGTCACCTGAGAAAGACAAAGTCATAAGAGAGACACCAGAACATCAACACTGCTGTAACAGGGTCAAACTGAGGTGAGAAGAACCCTAAATTCAAAACATGTCATTTAAACTTGAAGCAAGGAAAATAAAGGGTCTAAAAGCAGCACCATGCAAATTTTTATGTCCCACTTTGATATACTGTAGTATCACACACACTAATGAAAAGTTACAGAAAGCTACACAACGTATGCAACCATGGTTCCTTGAGTGAAGAGTCTCTGTCCACCCAGTTATAATGTTCATACAGTATATAGTGAAGGTTTAGAGGGCAGACTTATTTTGCACAGCCATACACCATGAACACCTTCACTACATAACAATGGACATACAGGACGTAAGCTCAGCAAACGGACATCCGCTTCACTGTTTTTCAGAGATACCCCAAGACGAGCCCCCAGGAGACAACAAACCACACTCTGCTCGCTAACTGGTGAAGGTAGTCCTCCAACACACACACACCAATGTAAAAGTCTCTTATTCACATGGAATCAAAATGAAAAGTGAGGATTAAGTGCAGAGCTGACCAGTTCAGTACATACAGAATGGAAAATGGAACTGGGCGAGAAAGTTTTTTTTTTATATATTACAGGGATACACTGTTAGCAGACGCACCTGCTGTTTGACCAAAATGAGCCGCTGCACCTCGATGTAGGCGGCCTCCAGTGTAGCCCGGGCCTGGATCAGGCCGGTGTCCACAGCCTGCAGGGAGCAACTCAGCTCTTCCTCCCGCAGAGAAACAGCTAGCAGCTGATCAATCTGTAAACGCTCTGCACAGAGCCCACGAGGCATAAATGAATCATCAGTAGCTTGGCAAAGACTCAACTTTTATTTTCATGCAGTCTTTGTACTGCACCGAGGCTTAAACAATACCTGAAGCTTTGACTCTCAAACCATTCCACCAAATTAAACCACATTCAGTATTTAGTATACACCTGAATTCATTACAGCAATAGATAACTACCTTTTTTGGATTTGACCTTCCTCCTTTTGTTAATGTGTTCCACACTAGAAGTCTCTGCACTTGGAACATCCTACAAAGAAGAAAGAAAGGATTCTGTTTGTCTTAAAGCAGACACAAATGAAGCAGACCGATAGTGATGTGTAAAATCAGTGGAGTTTCCTTTACTCACACCAGATGCTCGTCGCCTCTTGCCTGCTCCCTGAGCATCGCACTGCTCCGTCCCTGAACTGCTATCCTCGAGCACTGAATCAGATCGTTGCAGGGTCTTCACTGCTGCTGACGTTAGCTTGTCTGGCTGCTTCTGTGTTTTAACCTCAAACTGACCAAGCATCTGCCCCACCTCTTGCTGACAGTGACTGTCTTTGTTCCCTTGAGCCACTGTGGGAGAAACAGAAGATCCCTGCTGTTCTGACCCGAGGCCTTCTCTCTGTGTAAACAGTGAGTGAACGGATGTAGGAGCGATGCTGCTCTCTGACAAGGACCGTTTTCGAGAGGCACATGGAGGAGAGCTGTCCATCATTTCCCAGTGAAAACCCTCTAGCAGGGTAATGTCATCTTCCTCCTGGCTCTGGTCCTCCTGGTCGCATGGCACCATCTCTATCCCAAACCTGGACAACAGCAGGACATGACATAAGCTTGAAAAGCTGGAATCAGAAATAACGATTAAAGGATGTATGGAATGTAATCAAGACTTCACCTTGGCATGCCTTTCCCTTTATCTTGTTTCTTCCTGAGCTCCTGATAAACCTGCTCCCAGTTAACACTGCGCCAAGACCCGGACGAGCTGATGAGCTGCCGTACAGTCGGTTTGAGCCCCGAGTCCTTTTCTGTGTCACTTCTCCGCAACTCGGTCACGTTTCGGACCCGTCTAGCGATGTTCAGGTTGGGCTCGTGGCTGCCTGTTTTACTCTTGGAGCTGATGTGTTTGGTCAGGTCACGTTTTAAGGCAAGAGGCAGGTCAAGTTTGGATAGACCTGATGTGTGTGACCCTGAAAGTATGTGTGCTTCACTGCTCCTGGAGGTGTCACTCTCTGAGCTCTGCCCTGCCTCCACAGCCTGCACAGACATGGAACTGGGTTCTTTCTCTACTTTCTTCTTCTTCTCCTCATCTTCCCTGCCTGAGCATGTGGGCTCTGAGCTCTCCATGATAGAGGTGGTAACTTGTAAGGACTGGAGAAACAGGCTGCTGTCTGAAGATGACAATGTGCATTTTTCTGGACCGACTGGGTCAGGAACATTTGGTTTAGCTGCATTCTGCCTACAGCTGTTTTCTTTGTTTACTCCTATCTGACTCTGTGCATGATCACTCTGTTGCTCCTTAACAATTTGCTGTGCCACTTCCAGCTTACTGTTACTGGAGCTATCCAAAGATCCCCTCTTTTCTGAGCGCATCAGTCTGACTTTCCTGAAGGGTTCTGACAGCTGCCGTTCTTTCTTTGAATGCAGAGGTCCAATAGCAGGAGCCTTGGAACTGAGTTTACTCTGCTTTGTGTTTGGCTTTGATTGTGAATGCACTTGACTGGAGGCCTTACTGAGTTGAGCGCCACTGTGGAGACCACCAAATGAAGACATCTTCAGATCTTTATTTAGCAACGGCTTATTTGCCTTCTCATTGGGACCAGACGACTTCTGGTGGCTCTCTCTCTGAGCACTGCTGCTGCTGCTCTTACCTCTAGGCTTGGTTTTGGGGTTCGTTTTATCCCTCCCTGTCTCTTCTACATTTTGTCTATCCAATGTTAACTGCTGCGGTTTCTGTTCAGTCCTGGGTTGCCTATTAAAGCCATTGGTTTCTGGTGCTTTGTCTTGCTTCTGGGTTTTGGAACACTTATCAGACAAGTATGGGTTGCTGTCTTTATGAGGCACAGATTCAAGCCCCTTTGTGACTGGATAGGGTGACCAGCGACAGGCTTTGTCCAGCTTGGGATTACTACCAAAGCTGTTTGAGCACCTGCTACTGTTGCAGTCAAACTCTGCTGTTTGCCCATTCCCAATCTGAAAACCTTTGTCCTGCTGACCACCCTGGTTGCTGGCTGTATTCTGAACCTGGTAAACAGGCCTGGGGAAAAGATTTGGTGGAGGTGGATTCATAGGAGGCATCCCACAGAAGCTCAAGGGCCGGCCCTTTTGTGTGAACTGGGACACATTGTTCTGACCATAGAGCCCATTACTACTGCCTCCACTGCTGAGCCAAGGCAGTCGACTTTGTTGCTTGCTAGAAAATGCATGCTGATCCCACTGCTTCCTGTTATGCATGTTTCCACTGGAAAACTCTCCAGATGCCCATTTCTGAAGGTCGGGAGGCTCCTGAGCATGCCAAGTGGCGCTTTTTCCCTGGTTTTTGCGGTGCCAGGGTTGTGCCTCTCCTGATCTGGCATCATATTGGTTGCTCCTGTACCAAGAACCATGCTGACTGGATCCACTGAAACCCCCTGATGGCTGCTGCCAGCCACATGTCATCAGGTAACGCTCCTTAGTTTCCTTCAACCTCTGCTGAAACTCCTCTTTTCTCCTTCGATCCGCTTCTTCTTTTGCCAGCTTTGCAGCAGCAGCCTCCTTCTCTTTTCTACAATTGAGAAAAGATGTATTCTCAGTGGCCACTTTATTAGGTACACCTGTACAAAAATGCAATAAAATACAACTGATCTGCCATAAAGGTATGCCGACACCTCTAACTCAATATACAAGATCACCTTTAACTATGATATCAGAAATAAATATATCACTGGATTTACACATTTCCAACAATGTCAGAAAAATCTGAACATTATATATGTTGAAAATGTATTAAATGATTTTCAGATTTAATATTGAAAGCAATGGATCACATTACTTCTTGTATATGAAAGGGATCACTCTTAGTGATGACCACAAACACAAAGCGGTGCTCAGACGGGCTATTTCTGCTGCCCCAAAGTGACCAAAAAAGAAAATATCACTTAAAGTAGGTGTAAGATTCCAATAGTAAATTGCTGCATTAAAATATTCCTAATTTCACATAAATTTGAATCAGTTTAACAAGATGTAAAGCATTTCCCTGGCAATTACATATCTTTTGCCAGGTGTCTCAGATTGATCCAGTGTGACCCATAATACTGTCCTGCAAAGGGAAATTATCTGACAGGTGACAGGCTCACAGCTACGTTTGCTTATTGTAAGCTGAAGCTTACAACACATATCAAGCTTTCACAACTGTCCTAATCAGACTTTTTTTCTATGGGTTCAAGTGAGTCAGTGAAGTTAACACTGTCTTGCAGAAAAACCGGCACACATAAGTTAGTCTTGCACGTCAAATTAATTTGAAGTTTGGGTTTTTAAAGTTCTACTTCTGGGAGAAATAAATATATCAAAGAGAAGCCCCTGTTATTTATTCCACACTTGTGAGCATCATGTACTTAAGAGTCAAGCTTGGTTGTGTGTTACTGTTTCTAAAGGGCAGAAAACTTGAAATGCTTTTTTTAGGCTGCAGTCTTGACATTGAACTCCAGTCATAGCTCAGCGTGAAGCAGTGGCTAAAAGAGTCCTGTTAGCACCACTGTGCAGAATGTGACTATACATGGCTTACAGTATATACGCACACACAAGTTCGTCAGCTCTCCTTACCTTTACATATGTGGTTTCATTATAAAATCAATATTAACATAGATTAAGATTAAGCAAATGATTAGAAAAATATTTTAATGATGCTGCCTACTGAAATAGAATTTTACAAGCTACAGGCCTGGGCCTGTTGACAAATACTTTATCATCATAATTAAACACATATTTTTCATATTTGCAACACAAATGAATAAACACGCATTAAATAAATTAAATAAGGTCTGGATAAGAGTTTTCCTAAGAAGTTACTTTTGTAAATACTACAATTATACCTAAACATTTATTCTATCAGATGTAGAAAACCGCCCGGCTATATACAAGACAACACAACAAAACATAGTAAAACCTTTTGTTTAAAGCAGCATTAATCCCCCAGTTCAAAAGCTTGGAGCATCAAAATATTGATGCTAAGTAGTAAGACCGTCGTACCTGATCTGCTCTTTTCTCTTCTCAATCAGGTCCACCAGTGTCTGGTCGAAGTAGTCCTCACTGTGACAGCTCCCATGAGTCCTTTGTTCTGCAGTCTCTACATTCTGCTTGTGTGTGGGACTGGAAATGTGGTTGGCAAAATCAGTCAGGCTCACCACTGTTACCTTGCACACTGTGCACTCGTGTCCACAGTCCCTGGGGAGAGAAGGCGAGAGCGGGCGTTCAATGGTTCCTTCAGGCATCGTTCTGATCTAGTCTGGTTTGGTTTTCCTGCCTGCAGAGCCCACAACAGTGTATTCTGGCTCTACTTTCTGTTACTTCAGAGTCAAAATAAAATCAGGAAAGGAGAATACTCAACAATCCTTAAAAAATAACTTATCCAAATTCTCTATCTGTCGCAGATCAGGAGGTGGCTAACTTATAATTTTCTCTTGATAAAAAAAAAGTAATATCTTTATCTTCCTGATCTTGTTTTTCTTTCTTCAGCAGGCCATAGGTGGCAAGGTGAGAGCAAGAGCAGCCAGGCTGGACCCAGGCAGCATGCTACTCTAGCTGTTTATGTCCAGCCGCCACAACCAGCCACGCAGCACAGCACTGGGACGTGTGGAGAGGAGAGAGACACAGCGCCCTCAGCCTAGTGCGCTTTCATGATGGTATCCACTGCGCTCTGGGACTCTACAGAATGCAGTGTCTGTATTTGAGCTCACACTCTTCCCTGAGAGCCAGGACCCAGCCCCCTCTAGGTCACCATGCGTTATTGGAACATGCCTGAGCATCCTACTGGCCAATCCCATTCAAAGCATGTGTCACTGGAGCTTTGCGCAGCTGCCCATAGCCTCCACTTCAAACCGTCTCCCAAGTATGTCATCCGGTGATTCTGATAGGGGCGGTGACCTTGCTGGCTCTGCCTCAATTTCTTTTTCAAATCTGTGTCATGACACGCTGCCATTTACTGACCCCTCGTGCAGTGAGCAAACTCTGTATCAGTAAGATAGGGTTACTTTTTTGCTTGACCCATTACTTCTCAGCTGCAGTGGTGGGGAAACTGATTTATTTTGCTGGATTCCAATTTGAAAATCAGCAGAAACTTTAAAGAATCTGAATCAAGCCGTGGCTAAAGCCATGGCTGCCATCACCATCTTATTTCTGGACAGGACATTTTCCAAATAACCATGCACTCTTGAGAAACAACAGAGGTTCTTCAGGAACATACCACTTAATGCACTGAGCTCATATCAAAGCTTGTACAAATGTACCTGATAATGTTTCAAGAGATGCTGTCTTTGCATACCAAGGTTTAGATGAAATTCTAGGAACTTATCAATATCTCAGGCCCTGAATCAGTGTTTGCATTACTCAAGATTCTTCCACCTCAGCAACAGGCCACATACTTTCAGTAATCTACATGGGAGTCACAAGATAGCCAGTTGCTTTCTATTGGCCATGCCTGTTGTTTCAGAGAGATTGTGTCTAAATATATGTGCTGCAGTTGAGACAGCTGCCCCTATATCCACTTGCTCAACACATGCACATGTGCACACATGCCACATGACCCAAATAGATCTGGACAAAACTCAGGAACTAAAGTAAAACCACATTTTACCATTACATGTTCATTTAAAACTAGTGTAGTGAATAAGATGCAATTAGCGTCCAAATCATTAGCACCTAAATACTTACTCATCAGGACTGTAATGATTATTTGGGAAATAAAACATTTCTATATAACTATTTGCTTCCATACATTGATCAGTCACTGATTCACTATAGTGTGTGTAATTACATGATATCTGTGCATGGTTTATTTTTGGAGAAGTGTAACAACAACAACTCACCGGCCTTTGAGCTTCTCCAGCTCACGGTGGTGCAGCATACTTCTCATGTGCTCATCCATCTCCTGCATATACAGTTGGAAAATAAAGTTTTTCTTTTAGTTATTAAAAGAAAATTTCATGTTTCTAAGTTTTGTTAGGTGATAGATAACATGTTCCACATACATGTCCCAGAAACACAGAATGTGATTTACTGTAGACTGATGCTAAATCTATCCCATTAAATCAAACAGTATTACGCTTTTATATTTGTACATTTATATTTATATCATTATATGAATTACCTGCTTGGAGAGATGGACTGTTTCACAAAGGATGCACTTTCTGTCTCTCACCATTTTGTATGCAGGTGGAAATCAGTCCATTACTGTCAACAGAGAGAGTTTATTAAAGTAAGGGGAAGCATCAATAACATCTTATGAAGTGTAAATCACCAAGTTATGTGATACCATTGTGCATTACAATACCTCTGTTATGGTTCTACCTTAGTGGGATGTAATAATATATAGGGATATAATCATTTATAATAAACATGGACAGTGCACATTGACATGTCTGAGCTCTGGGAAAGTAACAAAGTGGAAGGAGCTCCAGACTTATTTTCTCTAAACAACCACACCTAACTATTCATCAACAAGCCTCACAACCACAACCCAAATGCCCCTTAAGAGTTCAACCTGGACACTGGTTTAATTCCAGTCTGCTGATAGAACAACTCTGCTGCCAGGAGACAGTACAGCCATGGCTGCATCGGAGCTGTGTCTGGACTTGTTTAACATTCACAAGCAGGGTGGAAAGCAAATGGTATCTACTTTTTCTACACAACATCCCTTTCTCAAGATACAACTGACTGTAAAAGGCTGCTAGTTCATGAATTTGTGGATGAATAAAAAGTGAAGATAAAAGTTTCAAATGACAGCATTTGGCTCAGGTGCTGGACAAAGGAACGCCAGTTTATTTACCTACGTGATGTTTAAGCATGTCCCCCTTCATAAATCCATCTAAGTATCAGTTAAAGAACATAGTACAGATACAGTGTGAAAACGCAGCTTCAGCTCAATCAAATTAGACTAGTATCAAAACCAAACTGGCTCCTTTTTCACAAAATACAAAAACTGAGACTTTAAGCTTGGTACAATATCGAACAAGTCTCTGATGGAGACAGTAAGTAGCTAAGAATAACAAAGGTGGTGCAGCACTTTTCTATACAGGGCAAGATTTTTCTTCTCCGCACTAACTCCCAGTATGTTTTCAAATTGATTTTAAATTTCTATTGATTAGTTTTAAGGCCCTGCATGGCCTCTCCCCTAGTTATATCTCTGACCTCTTAGCGTGAATGTGCACACTTTGAGATCCTCGGATAGGGGTTTTTTGTTGGGACCTGACGACAGGCAGTGCCTGTGGGAATCTTTTGAACTGAATTTTATTTCCTGCTTCTGTAAAGCACTTTGTAACGAAGATTTATAAAACTGCTGTATAAATATAGACTACTATTATCAACTTTTATTCTGTATTCTAAGACACTGACATTACTTAAAAAACTAAGTTTAATAAAGAATAAGACTAATATATACAATGGTTAAGGTCTGGAGATCTCATCACCCTCATTAGTTTGGTCTATATTCTGCTTATGACTTTACACAGACTGTCACAGTAACGTGACCTCCATTACTATTTCTCCTCACTCCCAAAGCACCAAAGGGTATCTATTTACAGTAGTTAGGCTCCGTGGCTCATATTCCCCCTCTACCACTGAATCTCTATGGGGCAGCAGGCTAGACAATATTAGATACCCAAATAACACCTAAACAATGATCAGCATTCCCACTCTTTTCAACTAATAATTTACCAGGACATTTTTTATGATGCAGGGCTGTGATGTCAAATAAGGATCACACCCTAGGCTAACATGTTCCTCTGTATGGAAGTCTCTTTTAAACCATGTATTAATCTATGATGACACTTTATATAACTAATCCTTAAGGTGCTTTATGGCTGATTAATTATTGACGCCTGTTGCACTCTCCCAAACACTTGCAGGTGTTCAGTCCCTCAATGTACAGTATGACTGTTTTTATCCTACAATAAATGTGAGCCTTACTTTCTGCAGCTTTTCTTGTCTCTCTCTCTCTCTCTCTCTCTCTCAGTCTCTTTTGCATCACAGGTTAGGGTGAAAAATTAAAAGACTGACTCTGTAGAGGCTAGCAAAACTTTCAAAAGCCATCTAGTTTGAATCTAGCAGCAAAAAGTAAGCAATAATAAACACAGTAACATTCAAGAAGAGTTCTATCTTTTTTTCTTATAATTTCTAAATGGATTTATGTAGGTTTATTATCAAGGGACAAGAATTCACGACCCTCAAATCTACCATGCCCTGCCAGAAAGGCTCTTGGCTTAGTCCATTTCTATTACTGATCATATTATATTAAAAAGCTAGCCAACTAATGTTAAATAATAATTCTGCAAGTGGTGGAGCAATAAATCTTAAACGTGTATAAAGGTAAACCACATTACTAGCAAACAGTTATTAATATTTGCGTTTCAGCTATCAAGCTACCTGCAGTTTTCCATGACTGGAAAACTGTTTTTTTTTTTTTTAAAGAGATTTTCCAGGACACGTGGGAACCCTGAGTAAAAACGGTTAATGTGTTTTTATTTTAGAAATCACCAGTTTTCTTCTACTATCCTCATGCACAAACCGAAAAGGACAATAGTCTATTAAGTTAAATATGGTAAATATAAGTAAGATCACGCCATATTGATATTTCAGGTTCCAGACTAGGCACTGAAATTAATGCGGAATGATGCAGAACCAGAAAGAGAATTGACAATTAAAACACGCCTGCCATAACCTGTTTAACATAGTCATATTAAGTTAGCTTGCTAACAGCTAACATTAGCTATTTGGTGCAGAAGTTTATCATCACAATTAAAGTTAGTGATGTTATAACATTTGAACACCTGGCTGAATATTATGTACATCTGACGTAATTAAGCAATCTAGGTCAGTCGGCTGTTACTTTAGTGCTGTATTATAGCCTAAAACTAACTTAGCTTATGATGAACTTGGTCAGCTAGCAAAAGGCTGGTTTCATTGTTGTTAGCCTAGCTGCCCAATTAGTAATTGGGTAGAAAAACAAACAAACGGGTCAGCAAACCATCCGACTACATGGAGCATAAACTGTTATTAAAAACCACGACCCCTGACAAAGTTCACGATAACTTGAATTTTTAAGTAGCTAAAAGCTACCTACAGCTTGTACGTTAGCGAGCTAGCAACAGCATGCTAGTCAGCGACAACAACGTAACCAATCTCTAAATTAAAGTTACATTATGTATAGATTTTCAAACCGTGAGGGACTACATGTAAGACAAGTTGGTTTTATACACTGTAAATACTGAGATATGAAAACTGGCTACCTTTATAACATCCAAATGTGAGTGAGACTACTGCACTACTCATGACAACAACATCCTCCTCCGCGACCTCACACTGAACTAAACCCAGGCTGCGTTCAGGATCAGCGCTGCGCAGGAAAAACGGACATCGGAGAGATGAAACCTATTTGTTCGGTTTAAAAAAGAAAATAATTACTACTGGTCGAAGAAGTACTCCGATCCTTTATTTAAGTAAAAGCATTAATACTACATTTAAAAAAATACTAATAAAAGTGTTGTATAAAAAATGTTAAGACTACACTTTCAGGAAAATGTAATGTACCCACACCACTAGTAGTCCAGTGCAACACCACTTTTAACTATGATCTCAATAATAAACATATAACTGAATTTATACACTTATGACAATTTCACCAACAACTGAAGCATTTTGAGCTTCTTAAACAGCAATGATAACACTTTGTTGTTCACAAGATGAACCCTGGAGCTCTGCTGTTCACTGCTCTGTCAAAATGTAGTCAGTTGTGTCAGTCATTGTTTTTTCATTAAAAATAGATTTGCTGTTGCAAAATTAGCTGTTTCCATCTTGGCCAGTGGTGTCTGCCTTTTTGTCATATGATGGTAAAACTGAATAGGCCTGTTTGGTTGGATAAAACAGTACTGAGAAGATCTCAGTAGTGGGACTGCTGGTGTGTAAAGGCTTCTTTTGCGTGCACGCTGCAGTGCACCAGCAATGTGGTGCACATGTGTGCACCCTGGTGTACGAACCTTGACCGACTTGGGCCTCAGCTTGTAGTTTGCTTTGACATTAGAACCACAAATAATTTCTTTTCGTTATCAATCTAAACTAATCCTCTGCCAAATACAGGAGCTCGTTAAAGCTCGAACTAGTGATTTTAGTGGGGCATACTAGATCAATACTGGGGCACTTGCCCCAGTAAAAGGGGTCTAAGGATGCCTATGCTTAAACAATTACAAACATAATTAAAAATAGATTAAAATGTTTAAAAGAAAAAGAAGATAATCTTTATATTTGTGAAGCTTGAGCATAAAATGTAAACTATGACAAAACATCATAAGTCCTAGTCTCTTCATGTTTTATATACAACAATATGAATCCAGGAACCAGTAACAGTAAAAAGGACAATATTTCCCTCTGAAATGCCATGAAGTATAAAGTAGCATAACATGGAAACAATAAAACTATTTTATGATAAACGTATGCACCTGAAAAAAGACAAGGTCAATATTAAAAGTTACTGTACTCACAAGTGATGTCAAGTCAATTTATTTATAAGCACATTTAAAGACAAAGTTGACCAAGGTTGTACAAGGTTTATAAGAATAAACATTGGGAATATTTCCCTAGTTGCATGTTAGTTGTACATTATCCAAGAAAAGGCTAATAATGATGATTAAAAGCTTTTTTCAAATTCACTTCTAGAATTAATAAATCCAAAACATTACTTATCTATATTTTGTCAAATTATGCGTCAGTCAGGCTGTGAGAAACTCAGATATTTGGATAGTTTTTCACCACAAATGATAAAATTCAGAAATAAAAATATATGTTTACATCATATTTCAAAATCTCTAAAAACAGCATGTAAGATACAGTACTGAACAACAACACAATTCAGACATTAATTCAGGTACATTTTAACAGTGAATACACCGACACATTTTTACAATACATTATGGTAAAGTGAAGAAAAACAACAGTGCTCGGACACAAATTTGTTTCCAACTCTACAAAAATGAACAGCAAAACAGTCTGATGCAAGAAAGGTATTTTCTAATCCCTTTAGAAATAACTATCAAATGGGTAAAGCAACTATAAACTTTATTTTGCTACATTTTCATGCTAATGCTTCATTACAAACAAGATCTTGACCAGCAGTGCTTTAAAAAGTAATGCGCACAAATAAAATTAAAATTCCCCCTTTAAAATAATATTATCAATATGAGAACAAATCCAAAATCCAGCAATGTTTTGACCAAGGTTCCAATTTTGTCACTTGTAAAGCTTTGGCACCCAAACCTTCAGCAACATTTGCTTTTATGTGAACACAAAACTGCATTTGCAGGAATATTTATGCATCACCTCTGAAATACTCATTTTATAGATAAACATCTGTTGGTGTCAATGACCTTTACAGATGATTACCAAATGGTTCAAGCCCTGGTTACTTGGATCACATCAGATTGTGCCACCTGTGCATTTAGTGTGTCAGCTGATTTGATTCAGTTCCCTTGCTTTATTTCTTAAATGTCTCTTACGCATCTTAATTATCCACTTAACAGTGAGTTTGGCGAAATTAGCAGCCTTGAAGAGAGCCATGAAGACGCCACAGAGAATGGCTATGGAGTTCCAGGGATTTGCAGTCACAATCTGTTTGGTAGTTTAAAAAAAGAAAACTGCATTACACACTGATAAGAGTGATATGGACAGAGGGTAAAACATCTGAGCCAACTCACCAGTCTGATTTCTTGAATAAAAGGATCCCGCCATTCAAATACAGCAAAGAAGAGCTTGTTGCTTTTTTCTGATTCAGGCCTTTTGTCATTAAATTTCACCACAGCAGACTAGAAGATGCAGCATACATGATGAAATTAGAGCTTTTCAAATCAAAGCGGGCACATTTAAAATACAGGCAATACAGGCACCAAGGCCAATCAGATTCTGGAGATGGTCAGTGCTCCCGGCCGCCACCTGGATCGGACACTGCTCTGAAGACACTTCACTAAAAAGTCTCTGTTGCTCACCTTTCACCTTGTGGTAGTTTTCCGTTAACTCGTCACCCATCGGTATGTGTACACAGGCTGAGCATAAATACCTCTTGCCGAAACTCAACAGCTTCATTGCTTTTCCCAGATGTCCTCAGTAAGGACATCTTCACCCAGGTTCTGAATCCTCCAGAGAAGGTCCACATGGAGTAATTCCTCTCACAGTCCCTCATGAACTCTGATTTATTTGCACTAAAGAGTCAGAAAACACATTACATTTAACACTAAAAGCACATGTATAACATTTACTAAATGTATGGGTACTATGGGACTGGGTCAAACAGCTTTTGCATACATTTGTTTACTGTTGTTTCACAAGGCATAAAGTAACAGGACAGTACCATCTAATGGTTTTACTACTTCCTAGTGGCTATGTAAACTAACAAGCTGTCAGTGCAATATCTATGTTGTGAGCCTCTTCTTCACCAGGGTATCAGCGAAATGAAAAATACAAGAAAATGTATATGCAAATATAGCGGAACCTAACTCAGCTTTGGCACCAGTAATACATCAAAGCATCAGGACCTTTTGTTTGCACTTACCTGTTAGTCAAATCACTAAACCTGGCAAAAAGCATGTAGGTGATGGCACTGAAGTCTTCTTCAGTTTCATTACAGCTGAACTGCATGAAGATCAACTCTTTCATTCTGACATCAGATGGGCCACGGACCACCAGGGCTCTTTTCTATGATGCAGAGGTTGAGAGTTAGTATAAACCAATTCACAAAAACAGACAACCAAACAAACTCACTCACTCCTGTTAGACCAGTCAAAGAATGTGTTGTGTATTGTAGGTATACTGTAGACATATAATTCTATGGTTTGTTGAGGCCTGTAATTCATGTCTGAAAGCCCACTAAATGATCGTCTTTATGTATGACCTCTGTTTGTCCGGTAAATGGTCCAAAGTAAGTCACTGTCTCAATCACACAGTCGCCTTCTTCAGGCTTGCCTGGGTCCACTAAAGGTGGGATGTAGTCATGGTAGTGATGTATGCAGCTCAGCAGCTGAGCTTTGCCAGGGTACAGGGCGATACCTGTTCAAATAAAAAGAGAAACTGTCAGAGTCCAGCCACCATAAACCTTAATACAATAACATTAATATTCAGCTTTGAATACACAAACTGCCCCAAAACTTTCATTTAGTAGCTGACTTAGCATGACATGACTTTCACCCAAAGGACAACAACCATTTTCAAAAAATGTCCTTTCCAACACTAATAGATCATGTACTTATACAAACTGGACCTCCAGAATCCAACTGCTGGCTTTTCCTGTTCAGGTTGTGCCTGTTACTTTGCAGCAGTGATGAAAATTACATTCACTCAAATACTACACATTTCCACACTACGCTTGTGTATTTTTTTTCAGATACTGTATACTTCTGCTCTGCTGTTGTTGTACATTTTATTTGACTGAACAACTCAAGAATTATCAAATGGTATATTATAGAAGTGGTCCCAAATGACCCCACCCAATGTCTTATTCATACAAACCAGGGGGTGAAAACGAATCAACCTCTTTGTAGGTGACAGACATGACAGGGTGGTTGAGTTTGTCAAAAAAGTCAGAGATAGTCTGGTAGGCCAGAAACACCGCCACGGCAGTCAGCAACAGGTAGATGAAGATGAGCACCACCGTGAAGACATTCTTCAGGCAGGTTTTACTGAATCTCATGGATGGACTGTTCTCCCTGAGGTCATCCTCTGCAGAAGAAGAGGGGAAATAGGAAAATGTTCACCAACCACTCGAAGGTCCATCCATCCATCCATTATCCATACCGCTTATCCCGAATAGGCTCATGGGAGACTGGAGCCAATCCCAGCTGACATTGGGTGAGTCCATCATAGACAGGTCACCAGTCTATCACAGGGCTGACACTTTGAGACACACAACCACACACACTCATACAGCCAAGTTACAGTCACCAATCAATGTAAGCTGCATGTCTTTGGACTGTGGGAGAACCCATACAGGTACAGCACCAGGTTGGCCAGAGCTCGAACCTGGACCTTTCTTGCTGTGAGGCAATAATGCCAACCACTGTTTCACCAGGCCGTCATAGAGCATCTAGTGAGACATTCACAAACCAGAAACCACTGCTTAGTGCTCTTTTCCCCTCTCGTCTTGTTCCTAAAGCTAGGACCTGAACCACGGATGACTAGTTGTGACAAACTGTACAAGAGGCAGCCTCCAGTCTGAAGCTAGCGTTAGTAAATCTGTAAATCCAGTAGAATACTCTGGTTACTGCTAATGTGTCACAAAGCATCAAATTAAAATCAGATTCATTCAATATAAAGCTAAAATCTGGGTGGTGCTAATGTTACAGCTGAGAAACACCACATCCTGGACCATTCTAACTTCATTTATCAGACAATGTATAAAATGTTAGTTGATGCACCCATATAGATCAGCTTCATAGTTCCACTAAGGCTCATTGCACCAAATATCTTAGATGAGATGTTAAAACTATGCTAAGGCAGTAGTGATACTGTGAGGTGTTTTAAATCAGAGCATCCATCATGTGACACCGGTTTCACCTTGCAAGATGCTGTCGTTGGGTTCCTCACGCTCCAGGTCTTCTGTGGACTTTTCAAAAAAGTCTGGAGACTGAGTGTTACCTTGATCGTTGCCATCTTCACTGAACTGTAATGTTAAGAAAATGTCATTTAGCTGTACCATGGTCTGGAAGAGAGAATGAGGATTTAATTTTGGTTCCTTAATGGAATGCAGTTGTTGAGAAAGTACAAAGATCCATGACAGGTGTCACAATCACATACAGTAAATCTTGTAACAAACAAAACAATGACGACTATAATTCATTATCTTGATCAGGAATCATAAAATTATACACAATCTAGGCTATACATCAGTAGCAAACAGCTGATACTGTGCCATATAAATGCCTTTACTTTGATACTTTAATTACATTTACCTGTCAGTGTTTATTATTATTTAATTTTTACATTAGTAGGATTTTGACTGCAGGCCCTTTGCTTTTAATGAAATACTTTTACTTAAGTAAGGGATCTGTAATTATTCCATCACTGTTTGTCATTCGTCAAAGTAACTTTTAAAGTTACATTTAAAGCTTATAATTGTAGACAACAACGTTAAGAGAACATGGGGCATCTACAGCTTAATGATCACCAGCCAGACTCAAATAAAACGTGAAGTCAGCTAATTTCACGTTACAGGAAGCTGCTTTTTCCTGCAAACGTCAGCTGCCAGTCAGCTGAGCTGCACAGTGTGTGGCCCCGTTAGTTAACAAACTTCGGATTATTGACTCAAATACCAAACATAACAAAGTGACAACTGCACACAGATGAAGGAAGCTGAATCCTTTTCCTACCTCTTGGTATGACACGGAGTTTTCTTTCCCGAGCATTCCTCTGCACTTTTTTAACGTCAAAAACAGTTTTTCAGAAAAAAAAAGAGTAGCTACAAGTTCAGACTTGAAGTCTGAAAATTGTTTTTAAAAGTAGCAAATACATTTTTACCTAACATAATTCACCCAGGCCGCTGGTTAGGTCTGTTTTTCCGCTCTACAAGGAGACACACCAGGGACCCTCGTGGGTTTCAGGGACTTTGATAAGCCCATCCCATGATAATGAGACGCTACAGGCGATACAATAGCAAACCATGTGTCCTTGGCTTGGTTTCCTTCCGCCTTCCCTTAGGTTGTTACTTAATGCTGCTCCCTTGTGAAGGACTGTTTGGATCTTCTTACCATTGCTAACTCTGAGAGACGAGACAGTCCAAGTAACTACAAAACAGTGCTGATTTATTCAAAGGATCACAGGTAAAATTAACATTACACGCTCAGGTATCTTGCACCTCCAACCTGCACGCAGGCAGATGTAAGATGAAAGACCCTGAACCCACCAGGCCTATACATTATATCCCCTCGGTTGGGCTAGCCCCATACTACACAGAAACGTCAACCGAGACGTCTCTGTTACCAGCTTTGCAGCTGGTCATAGCAGTAGTCAAAACATGAAGCAAATCAATGTGTGTGTCTGTTGATTAAGTGGTGTGTAGCTAAAAACATTCTCACACGACCTCTAGTAACATGTCGTGACTTAAACATAAGAACATATTATGGCTAAGGCTACAGTTATACACGTCATAATAATAATATTAAACACCCTGTCTGCTGACAGTCCTCAACTCTTCTCTCTAGTTATCCTTGACCAGATGTACCCTGTAGAAACTCATAAGCATGACTAAGCATTTAACAGTCTAACTAGACATCCTATCTCCACTAAACATTTCTAATACATAAAGTATCTATCCAATATCTATCTGACTAAAAATACCTAATACTTAGTAAGCTACAAACCGCTGTTAACGAGAGTTGTCATGAAATTTCCGACGACTTTAAACGCAGCATGGGTTACAGCGTCAGGGACGTGGATGTGAAGGATTTCCGCACCACGGTCGTAACAATAAGTGTCCTACCATGGCAACAGCACAAGTCTGTGTCCTGTTTATTGTCATTTGTACGACTTTAGCGGAAGACGTTGAATTAAAACATAAACCTGTGCGACTCTTCACTGAGGAGGAACTGAAGAGATACGACGGCAGCAAGGTAAACCATAACCCGCATGGATTCAAACGTGGAGCCTAATTACTTTCCTTATGTTTTTCCTTGTTCCTACAACCCCTCCCCTCCCCCTTTAGGATGGACAGCCTATCTACATGGCAGTGAAGGGAGTGGTGTTTGATGTCACCAAAGGAAAAGGTAAATTCTTCTTCTTATGATGTTTAATGGCGGTTTGCAAGCCAACTTAAGGTGCACTACCGCCACCTACTGGGCTGGAATGTGGAAAAAGGTAAATGAACACCTGAATCGACCGGGGAGATTTTCAAGGTAAACTCAGGGACCTTTTCTAATTCGAATTCATTTAAATTAAGCTGTGAGTTGAAAGCAAAACTTACACAGTCATAGCCCACTAGAGAGGTTTCCAGGCTCTCTAGAACCAAATCTAAACCCTTAACAGACATTTATCCACCCATAATAAATTTTCAGTGATGGAAAGTAACTAAAGACATATTTATTCAGGCACTGTGGAAATTGTCCAATATTTCACAAAAGAGCACAGATTTGAAAAAGTCCAAATAATCAATACAAATGCGTGTATTTATTTTTTCTTCCTTTGTGCCTCAGTAATCACTCAGTTAAATGCTCACATTTATCTTATGGCCCTTTGTCTTCACCTCATCTTATCAGTCACAGGAGCCATTCTTCTGCAGAATGAATACTGTTACACAAGTAGGATTTTCATTGAAACACTCTTACATGTATTTGAGTACTTTCACATGGTTGCATTAGGTCTTTTAGTTAAGTACATTTTTGAGTACTTATTTCACTTCTGCTGCTCATCACATGATAGGATTTAGGTGAAATAAACTATTGTCATGGAGCTTTTTTGTGATTTATTCATTCAAAGAAAACTGTGAACTGTTCATTCAGGATGTAGAACACTTTCCAGTCCCTCTCCAGAGCACTAGACATAGTATAAAATGTAAACACAGACAACATTTTTATCTACTCATTTAGAACCTCCCTTGACTACTGCACTTAACTGCACTGTTGTCTTTGTCCCTTTGTAGAGTTTTATGGTAAGGATGCACCATACAATGCTCTGGTTGGGAAGGACTCCACTCGAGCTGTGGCCAAGATGTCCCTAGATCCAGCAGACCTGACATCAGATACTGTGAGTTTAGTGTCAACATCCAGAGGCCTAACTTTTGTCCTGACACCACTTCATGCACCCAGTTGTGTAGATTTCACTGCTTCCCAAAGGTTGAGATTTATGCGTGGGGAGCACCAACATCTGACAGCACAACATTGTTCAGCTATGTTATTTTATTGAATCTCAGATCAATTTCAGATGATTGCATAAAGCTATCTGTAAAACAGCACAGTTCGATTTCAGATGACTGCATAAAGCTATCTGTAAAACAGCACAGTGCCTTGTCTTCTACTTCTGTTTTTTGTGTGATAAATGAGAAACAATGTGTTAATTAGTGAGCTTTAAAGGTGCTGGGTGGCAGAATGTTTAACCTTTGGACAGAGCCAAGCTAGCTGTTTCCCTTGTTTCAAGTCTTTATGCTAAGCTAAGCTAACCATCCCATGGCTCATATTTAACCAGCAGACATGAGAGTGGTGTCGATCTTCTATTCTAACTCAGTGTCGAACTATTCCTTTAAAGGTACAGAGTCTGCAATGTACTCAAAGTTAAGCGAAAATATGTCAAAACTCACAGAATTTGCATATTCTGTACTGGATTCTGAAATTAATTATGTCATCGGTACACAAGGAAACGAAGCACCTCACCCACATCACACTATGGCAGAGTGATCTGGCCTCATTATTTGCCTACATCCTGGTTATGTTCCTGCCTTAAAATCCTAGATTTATTGGTTAAACTAATGTGTTTCACTGCTTTCAGCACTGGAGTTTTGCTAACAAATTATGAATAACTCCAGTTCTCTTCTTTGACCACCAAAATGTACTTTCATTGACTTAAATATAAAATTCAAGGTGAACATAATAGTCAAGTAACATGCCTATTTTACTTAGCCCAAAATCACATATTTGCATCAAAGGACTTACATGTCACACCCTAAATTTAGATCTTTGATTCAGTGAGAAGAAGTGTCCCCCAAAATCCATTTAACAGGGAAAACCAGAAAAATGCACAAGTACCAATACAAGTTCCTGTTTTCCATCTTTATGTCCACAGTCAGGCCTCACTGAAGAGCAGCTGACATCTCTGGAGAGTATATTTGAAGGCACGTACAAAGCAAAGTATCCCATTGTGGGTTACACAGCATCGCGCATCCTCAATGAGGACGGAAGTCCCAACGAAAACTTCAGACCAGAGGACCAGCCTCATTTTCACATCAAAGATGAGTTTTAATCTCGTTTGTAAAAGGTAGCTGTGAAAAAGTAGCTATGGAGGAGTTTTTTTGTTTGCTTTTTGGTTTATTTTAGATTCTTTAAATAACCAGAATCAGACTCAAATGAGGCAAATAAAACGTACAAACGAAGAACAAAGTAGGTGGTAGAAGCTTTCTGTTTGTGTTTACTTGAACTGAAGTTTTACATTTTTTTATTAGGTGCAACAGGTTTAATGTGCACAGATGCTAAGAGACCATGTTGCTTAGGCTTATAATTCTGAAATCCAGGGTTTCAATATAAGACTGCTGTGATCAAATTGTGGGAATACTGCAGCTCAAATGCAGAAGTTTTTTTTTTTGTACACCTTCAGCCTTAATGCATTGTAATTGACTGCTGTACATTTTTCAGGGCAACGCAAACAAGTAAAGTTAAAATATACTCAAACAGTGTGTGATTGAATTCATAAAAAGATCTAAAATATATTCAAATCAAATGAATAAATCACAATGAGCCTAGAGTTTGATTATCAATCTGTTTGTAGTTTAGTTGATAAAATATCAAGAAATAGTTAAAAATGCTCACTGCAGCTCCTTAGCGTTCAGGGCTGTGTCTTCAAATGTCTTGTTTTCTTTACATTCAATTTACAGCGATTAAAAATGGAGAAAACCAGAAACACTAACTGTCACTAACTGCATTTCCCAACAGAATATTTATGTAATTAAAACTGTGAATCTGAGGCTGTGTGAGTGTTTACACGATCAGGATCGTTCCATGTGTTTTCAACCTGATTCCGCTGTTGCACAATTAAAGTCTGTAAATCTCAAGCTGTTTAGAGTTTGTCTCACTTGAGTTGCTGCCGTCGGTGTGATATCATGATACGATTTCTTTGTGACTCAGCCCTGTCTCCCTTAAACAGACAACAGAAATAGTACATCCGGGTTTATACAGCTTTGTATACTTCGATCAAAGGTCACAGCAGTGCAGGTGCTGAGACTGGTGATAGTCTTTGGGTGGAGCTGTGCGTCTGTGCTCTGCTGGGTGGCCACACTGGAGGTAAATCTGTCAGTTTGTACAATAGTAACCAAGCTGAACCTCCCACGGTACTGTGAGTGATCTGTAGCCGAGTTCAAAGGACACAAGACCTGCCCTTAAGTCTGCCAGCGAGAGCGGAGCAGCTTTCCTTATCAGGTGGAGGTTCTGCTGGGAGTCGGACACCGCAGGCTCGGTCAGCCCGGGAAACACTTTGTTCTGCTGGAGCTCACCCACCAACCGGAGCCAAGATGCCCAAAACGGTAAGATTGTCATGCTTTTAGTGGTCATTAAATGTGTCACACGTCTCTTCCTGGTCTACAATTCCAATTCAATCAGTAAGGTTCGTTCAAATCTTTATGAGGAGATTTGTGGAAAGCCACTGAGCAGAACTCCAGGTTCAATCAATTACATTGTAGTAGTTTTAGTCTCTTGCTAAACATCCTTGTTCCCACTGAGTTGTTTCCAAGACGCACCAGTCCTTCCTGGCATGTACTCATTAACCAACTTTAGAGTTTGACCCATGCTGCTCACATTCCTGGCAGAAAAAACTGCTATTAAAATGCTACTTCACGGCTTCAGCTGGACAGCGTTTGGTTGTGTGTAACTGATAATAATCGTGGTAATTACCTTTGGTGACATTGGAGTGATTTGTAAATGTCAAGCATGACTCAATAGCTCACGAGTGTATGGTTTAACAGCTTTATTCTGCCCCTTTCCTAAGAAAGTCGGTATGAAACCATTTCACATTCAAAACAAAAGCAACACTTATGCACATATTTGCTTTAGGCCCTAAATGTTCTCAGATAGAGTAACTTAAGTATTCAGCTAAAAAAAAAGTAGGGAAACTGATAAGAAAGGCCAGCCTCTGCTGTGCAACTTGAACTCTGTGCTTGTATTTACACTCCAAGGAGAAATCCTTTCTTAAGAGGTCATGTCGATATCTGGCTCCATTTGCCTGATGTTAAAAATCAAACTGTTTTATGGGTCATGTCATGAGTAATGTTTGTGTTCTTCTAGATAATGTTGAAAAGATTATATAAGAGTTTAAGTCCGGCATAATTTGAACAGTTAAACATGAAGATAAGGCTTTTGTAGACACAAAAAAGTCAAATTTAATAAAAAAAAAAATGCTAAAGTTCAATGACGCAGCATATTGATTGAATGTAATGGATTACTGCTTCCATAATGATTTGAGAAGAGGTCAAGCCATGGCAGCGAGAAACACCTAGGCAGGATGTGACGGACTTACGAAGTTATCGTCCATGTGACCGTGGAAGGTGGAAACAGTTGAGAAACAATGGGGAGGTTTCACAAATGGATGGTCCAGTGTTTCAGTGGGTTTATCTTTATGGCACCTGGGGCGTGCTCTAGTGAAACTTCATAAAGAGATTGTGTAACTGCTACAAACCCAGTCTGGCCTACAGTCCGTAGTCATCAGTTTGTCATCAGTTTGTCACGCTTATTGTTTAATATTCAGAATAACCCTTTTTGTGTTCTGGGAAATTAATTCTAGAGAGGCAAATACATGTGCCTGTTTAATGTGCTTGTTCTGATAAGAGGTTGATCTTGGCTACAGTAACAGTGATGAACTCGAAAGCAAACTTGGCAAGCATGGAGTATTTTAATATTTTAATCTGCATATGTGCAACCTTGTCGCACTTTTCAAGGGTAGTTCAAAGTCTAATGAGATAGTGAGCAATTATGGTTTATGAACAATCCACTTCACAACTACACATTAAAGGCATTCTTCACACAACTGACTGTATTATTTGTGCATTTTAACATCTAAAAAGCTGTTTTCATAATGTAATCACCCAAAGGTCTTGTGGCCAAATGAAAATGTGGCAGTTAAGGGTGTGTGACAAAATAAAATGTGAACTAGTTTGAGAAGTAAAGTGGATTCAGGTGAACGAAGAAAAACACTTGTACTGAATGGGTTCAACAAATGTTTTATACGTGTATCCACACAGAAACCTGATTAAATGGCCTTTTTGCTGCAGGTCAACGTTCGCATCACCACAATGGATGCGGAGCTGGAGTTTTCATTCCACCCCAACACCACAGGGAAGCAGCTCTTTGACCAGGTTTGCATGTTAGAGTCTGCAAAGCACCTCTGTAGGCAAGAGTTCACACATACTGTACGTTATCATGTCTTAGCTGGGACCTTGGGAACTTCAGTGATGATGGCTTCAGTTTCTTCAGAACACAGTTCCACCTGATAACACCCCTTTCATGTTCCAGGTATCCGAATAAGACAAGTGAGACCATGAATCATGCTTAAATATTTGATACAAGTCAAAATTATGAGATAAGTCAAGATTTTGATTCATCTTATAATGTAGATTTTAAAAGTCACAGTTTTGACTTAGTATCTGATCATTTTAGTTTATAAAGTCAGTATGAACATACTTTTAGAAATGCTTGATTTTGGACAGTGTCTCCTTTTCTAATCCAGCCTGCATTATATTGTATTACACCCAGTGGTGGAAGAAGTACTCAGATTGTTTACTGAAGTAAAAGTAGCAATACCACAGTGTAAAAATACTCTGTTACAAGTCCTGCATTCAAATTGTTACTTAAGTAAAAGTACAAAAGTATTAGCATAAAATATTCCTAAAGTACCAAAAGTAAAAATACTCATTATGCAAAATGGCACAGTTCACATTAAGATATTTAATATTACTGGATTATAGTTATTACTGTGTACATCACATTTAATATTACAGCTGGTAAAGGCAGAGCTAATGTTAACTACCTTGCTTGTACTTTGAAGTACTTTACATACTGCTGGGTAGTTTGTGAATTTCCCACCAGGGACCAATAAAGTATATGTGAAAGTAACTAGTAACTAAAGTTATCAAATATATGAAGTGAGTAAAAAGTAGAGGCTGAAGTTTGAAGTAACTCAAAGTAAAGTACAGATACCTCAAAACTGTACTTATTGCAAATACAGTACTTGAGTAAATGTACTTAGTTACTTTCTACCGCTGATTATACCATAGCTAAAGCAAATTAAATAAATTGTTATATGTAGAAAAATACACAGTACTTGTATTAATTGTTGAGTAAACAGTGCAACTCCAGTTATGTTGACTGAAACACTGACAAATTAAAAAGCTAATTCATCAATACCTTGCACATCACCAGTCGGTACCTGGAGTGTAGTGTTATCATGTCCTAGACAGGAAGGCAGCTCTGTGATAAAGGGGTCCTGAGGATTGACGTTACATTCACCCCTTCGGCTGCTCAGAATGAAACTGATTTACACAGTCTACAGTCCTACAGTCCTGCTTTGTGCTGTAAATAAATAGATTTTGTCCAGTGGTTGTTTCTCCGCTGTGACTAAACGAATAAAACTGTAACTTTTTATTTGAAATAAAAGTCACGCATGTCTAGAAGAAGTGAAGGTGAAAAGATTGTGTGTGGGATCTTCTTCCTTGTAACCGTTCATCCATGTGTTTAAGGTCGCCCGGACCATTGGGCTGCGTGAGCTCTGGTACTTCGGGCTGCAGTTTGTTGACTCCAAAGGATTCATCATGTGGCTGAACAATGACAAGAAGGTGGGTTTGTGGTTGTGAATGTGATGATTAAAGCTGCATTGTCTTGCTGCTCTTCATTGTCCTTTCCTGCAAACCTGTTTCTTCACGGGACTCCACTCTGTGTTACTTCACATTATAATAGAATTTAAAATGTTACAGTTACTAAAGTGCTGACTGCACCAGGATTATCTGCTGGGATGTTATGAATGGTCCAGACCTCTCAGCTGGTCTGAGACAGGTCTGTCTCCTTTCCGCAGAGTCAAAACTGAAAACACATGAAGAAGCAGCTTTCGTTTTTTTTTTGTGTCACATACTGTATCTGGAACAAACTTGCACATAACTCACAGCCTGCTCCAGCTCTTCTCTCTTTTACTGAGCTGTCTGCCACAGCTTTTTATTCATATCTTTCATTACACTCTAAATTTGTGCTGTTGTTTTTTCTGTCATCACATTTTAACTTAAAAAATACTTCGTTATAATCGATTCTCAGTCCTGTTTAACTCATTCCATCTGCCCTATAGTATTCCATTTCACTGTATCTACTTTATATGATTACATTAGAAAAACTGTCACAAAAGGCAGTCAGTAGATAAAAGAAATTATGAACGAATAAATGGAATTAGACAAGTTTACAAATGTCCACCTGGACAGGTCGCCAGTCTATGGACTAAGAATCATCCTAAATATATTTGACAATTGTACCTACACAATGGGACCAGATCTATTCCATTTTGTTCTACTTTACCCACAATATTTAGCTCTACACTTTCTATCATAGTCTTTTTTTCATTGTCATATCTGTTCTTTAATCACACCCATGTTCTGCTCAGGTGATGGCCCAAGATGTGAAAAAGGAGACTCCCCTGCAGTTCAAACTGAGGGTCAAGTTTTACCCAGAGGACGTGGCCGAGGAGCTGATCCAGGACGTCACCCGGAAGCTCTTCTTC